CAGCGTGCCGGGGTGGGGGCAGCCTCGTCCTGCTGGGGGCGAGGGGAACCTGGTGCTGTAAGGGTGGGGGGCACTCAGCTTCCTGCAAGGGTCACCCTCACTGCCATGGGGCGGGGGGCTGTGCTGGGGGTACCTTGCATTTAAAGGGAATGGGGGGGAGAGGGTGAGGCAGCCGTCCGTGCGAGGAGGCAGGGGGCTGAGACCAGGGGGCTCCTTCCTTCCCCAGGGCAGGGTTTGGGGGGGGGTTAGCGGCTCGCTGGGTGCCCCCCGCAGCGCTCTGTCCCCGTCCCAACACGGGGCTTAGCGCTGGATTTGGGGTCCCGCAGTCACGTCGGGGCGGCCCCATGGGGTCCCATCGCTCGGCCCGGGCTGGGAACAGGTGGGGGGGCCGAACAACAAAGGACAACAGCGGCAGCAGCGGGAGGAATGGTGCTGCTTTTTATCCTTTTTTTTATTTTATTTTTTCCTTTCCTTCCCCCCCCTCCCCATCCCCCGACCCGGTTGTTGTTGCTTGCAGCACTTATTCCAAAAGCCGTGTTTGCCTTAGGAGGCTCTTCTTCAGCGCTGCCAAATGGTGGGATGGGGGTGGTGGGACGGGAGAGGGGGGTTGAATGCTCACCTTGCACTTGGTCTTCTACAAAACCCGTGCTGTTGGGATAGCTTTGTGGAGAGAGGAAAAAAAAAAAAGAAAATGTAGTGGAAGGCACCGGGAGGAATTTTCCTTTTTTAGAGGAAGGAAAACCCCATCGCTCTGCCCGGTTCCTTGCATGCATTTCAGCGCCTGGGCCTTCCCCAGCAAAACAACTGGAATTGCAAATGCTTCTTCTCGTGGCTTCCCTCGGCTGGTTGACTTTGTGGCTCTATTCAGAAAGAGGAATGGCAATGTAAATAATACAACCCGAACTCTTCTTGTTTTTCCTGCCTGGTAATTAGTATTTCAGCTTTCTCCTCAGATTGCATTCTTATGACGAAGGTGGGAAATTTTCTTTGGCAGCGGGACAATAATAAATAGCTAATAAATTTCCTTTTTATTCCTGAAATTGTTTTAGCCCGAGCTGTAATTCAATCCTCTCCCTGCAATAACGCTCACGGATGAATGGATCTATTTGTGGTGTAATTTGATTACGGTCCCTTATCTTCCAGCTAAACTTCATGCATTGAAATCTCACTCTGATTTGGGGCTCATCCCATTCGGTTCAGCGCTGTGCAGTGTGTGCATATCAGCTCCTTGTTTACTGCCATCCCCGAGTGCTCCACGGGGTACCCAGAGCTCTTCAGGCTGATACTGCTCTTTTTCATGTGGTTTTCTTTTCATTACTTATTAAAAGTGGTTGCTGATTAGGGAATGGGTGGGGGGTGCTAACACACAAAGTATCAGCGTTCGCATCAGCTAGGAGACCTTTAAACCTGTCTCTTCTATTGCATGGGCTGGGTATTGGTGGGGTATTGACTTAGTTGTGTATTTCAAGTTCACGGCCACTTATCCTTTTTTGGTTGGTGTTAAATTCATCTCAGGTGTTGGAGAGGGGTCAGGGCAGCAGGCAGTGTTGATCCAGGTGTGCCATTGCCTCCTGCACGCAGCACTCAGATCAGAGCTGTGCCTGGTTGCTGCTGTGGGCTCCGACCCTTTCTGTGCTCACAGAGCACCACCAGCAGTTGCATGGAATCTCACTGGTCAGGAAAAGCAAACTGTTTGTGGAAAGGTTTTACTTGGCTTGGGAAGCTTGTGTTTATTTCCCTTCTGCTTGGTTGTTTTTTCTTTTGGAGGTTTAGGGGAGGGGAGGGAAAGCTGGTGCTGCTCTTGGGACAGCGGATTGTGCCACATGCAGATGGGATGCCCACCCCATAGCCTGGTGGTGTGAGAAGGGTGGAGGTCTTCAGTGCACCCGATCCCCCCTCCTTCTTTAAGAGGTGCCCTTAAGAAGGGGATGGCAGCTTACAGCAAGGCAAATGCCCCCTCCTGAGCACCCTGCCTGAAAAGGACCTGGGAGTGTGGGAAGGACAAGAGAATGGTGCCACCCATATCCCTGCTGCTGTTTTCTGGTGAGGTTCCAAAGTTACTTTTACCCACCGATGCTTTTCCCATTGAGATCTTAAACAGAGTGTTTATCTGTGCCCATGGGAGATAATGATCTGTGGGATGGACGCGATCCAGGGAGGTGGCAGTGACATCGCTGGTATCCTTGTGTTAGGAAACGTTCTGGTTTTACAGAGGCTCTTACTTCTGAGGGGTTATCTGGGAGGAGTATTGGAATCTCTTTCACATTCTTATACACTAAGGAGATGGGCTGGAACAGATTTTAAAGTCTTGAATGTTTTTCTTGATCCTCTCGGGAAGGAGCAGTAACAAACACCCCTCTCTTCAGTTGGCCTTTCGCCACTTTGTCTGCCCCTGTTCGTGTCACGAGCCTTTTAATTTAGCTTCTGTTACAACAGCAGTATTTTATTCAATTTTTTTTTTTTTAATTTTTTTTTTTTTGCACAAAGAACAGCAATTTTGAAACAGTTCCGATGGCCAGAAGCAAGAAAGCAGTTAACGAGGTGAAGAGGTGAGAGCAGCAGTGAATAAAGCAGCAGGCTGAGCAGAGCTGCAGGAAAAACAGTGGATCATAACTTTGCATTTTATGTAAAGCTGCCTGAAGCCAGGTAGCCCAGTGGTAACTGATAGTGAAACTCCAGCTTAGTTGTGCTGCTAGTGCTCTGCTTGTGTAAATGAGCACAGATCTATTGATTGTAGCTCTGCCGGGCACCCTAGTGGAGGATCTGCTCCATGTCATTTGTAGTTGCATGCTGAAATTTGCATCTATCTCATCTTCTTTGCTCTTGCTCTCCTCTTGATCCTCATAGAGCTTTACTGATCTCGATATGCCTGTGTTTGGCTTGCGAGTTCCTCAGTGCCAAGGATCTCCAGCCTGTTCTGAAGGTGCGCGTTGTGCTGGTGGGTGTCAGAATGCTTGTAAGGACATCTTTGCCCCATCCCTGGAGGCATTCAAGGCCAGGCTGGATGTGGCTCTGGGCAGCCTGGGCTGCTGGTTGGCGACCCTGCACATAGCAGGGGGTTGGAACCCTGCTACGCTGTGGTCCTTTTCAACCCAGGCCATTCTATGATGATGCTATGATTCTCTTTTTACTACGTTAATTATGAATGGAGAGGGAGGACTTGGATAGCTCTGAGCCACCAGTGTGTGTGGTAAGGAGGAGTAAAGTGAGCCCGACCTTCTCTTTTGGGTTCATAAATTATACATGGAGAGTTCGAGTCCCAGAGAAAAAAGTGGGGTCGGGGTTCTTCCAAGCGCTGTGTCTGTATAATATAATTAGCCCCTGGTTGCTGATATCTGGGTAATGCTGTGATGGACTGTTGAGCATCAGGAGCCAATGAGTTACCAAACAGCCTGCCCTCTCTTGTGTCCACTAACATAATGCTTCGGTGGCAACCAAGGAATTACAGTACTTGAGGGAAAAAGGTATTCCTTAAGTTCTAACGATGATAAGTTGCAGCTAGGATGAAGTTGAGCACAGTGAGAAGTAGGGAATGACAAACATGCAGAACAGACTGGATTTTCTTCCGTCTTTGAACAAGCAATGGAACCAGGTTTGTTATTCTTGCTAAGTTTGTGATGGTATTTTTGGTGATCTGTCCCTTTTGCTCGCTAGTGTGTAAGTAACTGATACTGCTATTTAGAAACAATGTGCTGTTGCTATTAATATGAGTGTTTGTCACTCCCTGATTACTTGCTTGCTGCCCAGGTGCCCTGAAATTGGAGGTGCTGTAATAAAGGTCCACTTCGGGTTTCAAAGCATGAAAGGACAAACAGATATTGAAAATCTGTGCAGAGTCTGAGGTCAATTCAGGAGATCACCAGCCCTTTCCCTTTTTTTGTGGGGGAATTTGTGCCCCTCGTATAAAGTGCAGATCAGTCTGCAGTGTGGGGTGATCTGGCAAGGATGGGTTGCTCCTGTTATTAAAACCTCCTCCTCTTGGCTTGTGCCACTCAGCGTGTCAGAGAAAGGCCACTGAATAAAGGTTTTGGAGGTGTTTTCTCACCCAAAGCAGATTGCTTGTGTTGTGGCAAAGACTCCCAAAGGACTTGAGTTGGGTTTTGTTTGATGTGGTTGCTGAGGTTTTGAGCCTTTCTCAGCCCCACCTGTTGGCCATCTGCTATGGAAGTATCCACACGCTGTTATCCAGATGCCCTGGGAAGCCTTAAGCTACCTGCCTGCCTTCCTACAGCATTCCCATGTATGTGTGTGGGGTGCAGGGCTTGCTGGTGGGCAGTCAGCATCGTAAGAATCCAATGGATGAGAAGGACAGAATAGAGAGTTTGTGTTGGAGCTTCATGAAGGGCATAAGCTCTTGAATTGTGCGTGTCCTCAGTTTGTGCTCCGGGCTGCTGGGTGTCCTCACTGGACTGTGAGGACATTCTGCACTATTTTAATGCGCTGAGCCTTGTAAAGAGCAGGTTTCCTTCCTGGTGGTCTCTTATTGTTCATCTTCAAATGCTGTTATTATTTCCCTTTCTTTCCCTCCCCTGGTGTGGAGGCTGCCTGGTGGGGCCCTGCTTTGTTTTCTTCCTTCCCTGCCATCCATCCCAAGGAACCAAATGGAGTTCCAAAGGCAGGGCAGCAACTCTGGATCAAACCACACCTGGCTGCAGTTGTAGTGGGGTGGTGGTTGTTCCTCATTTCCCACGTTAAGCTGTTTCCATCCTTTAGTAGAGATATTGCATGGACACTGCATCATCTGAGGGTACAGTGCTGGATACAAGCCTCGTGCCCACCAATGTTGAGCTGAGAAATATTTATTAAAAAAAAAAAGAGGGACAAAATATCTATCTTTTGCTACATAACTCATCAAAACTCCCTTCAGCTGAGTATTTATTGGGAT